CTAGTTCTGTGGTTTTTAATGCTAGAAGTGAGTTTTGGGGATTTTTTTGTTCTGTTTACTCTTCAAACTGTTTTTTGACAAATTAAGTGAGGAATGGTAAGTGCCTTGCTGTTTTGAGTAAGATTCTTGCAATGGTCTGAAACTGGAGAGCGAGTGAACACAATGTAAATCTGGTAAAAACTTTGTTTGAAAAAATTATCAAATCTAGTGTTTATCTGAAATAAAATAATAACTTGTACAATTTGGACGGAGACACATTTGCAGTGCTGGGCTTTGAAATTTGGTCTGTGTAGTGATGTGAAGAATGGGTGGGAAGATGAAGAGATACTGCAGCTCATTTTGGGGAGGGAGTAGAGGGTGTCAGAACTCTAAGGGCCAAAACCATGTTCCTCTCAAAGGTGTTCTACCAAAAATACTAGAACAACAAATTTATGCTTTCCCTCCCTACGCTCTCAACTGAGATAATGCATTGTTCAGCTTTGAAATTTATTTTATTTTAAGACTTTTAGGTTGAGGTAGGGCAATCTCATGATATTAAGTGCTGAGCCATGAATAGTAAATGCCTGCTTTTTTTACAAGTCCTCTGTTAAAATTAGAGAGGAACCGTTGCAATTTGGTAAGCTGAGGTGTGGACTATCGGCGTCTGCATGTAATGAAGTGTTATCTGTGAAATAGGTTGAGAGTCTTATTAGCATGTTTGCAAATAGATTGGAAAATAGGTGTGTCAAGTAGATCAATTTAAGCAGTATCCACCTGCTTAAATTCTCTTAGCTTTAGACACAAGGTAGTTTTGTGATAGACTTGGATGTGAAGTATTACCAGCATGTACTGGATCACTGTGTGATCAAAAAATTAGTGCATAGAGACTCAGCTAAAATTGACACGTCTAAACGGACTGAAGATGACAATACCAGCCTGCATGTGAAACAGTACTGGATAATCTCTTGCTGATGAAAACAAGGTAGATTCCCTGTGTGTTGCCTGTGCCATCTGAACAGTAATATGAGCTGTTTCATTAAAGGAGAAAGTCTGTCTGACTGGTACAGACAAGGACTATTTTATACAGGCTGAATGATACAGTTGGGTACAAAGCTTTGAAATGAATGAGACTGGGTGCCATATCACAAAATGATACTCAAGTGATTATTGTAACCTACCAGTAAGTCATCTGACAGTGTCTTCAGTTAAGCGGCTTATGTGAGAACCTCATTCCATCTTTCAAAGACATGCTGGAATATATGACCTGCCAGAGCACATATGATTGAGGAAATGAGAGGGAAGATACAAGCTATTTTTTTCTGTCTTCCAAGTGAGCAAAAAGAAGAGGTGGAAGAAAGATCCACAAAAACTTCATCAAATCTAAAGAAAAATGTGAGAAAACTTCATGATGCTGTTTTTTTGCCTTGAGGAATTAGAAAATAACATCTTGATTAGTAAGTGAATACAAAGCATTTCCTTAAGGGATACTGAGAATGATAAGCAAGGACTTCAATATTGTGAAAAAGCAAGCAATGAAGGTCGGATTTCAGTATTAGATTTGAAGAGGAGGAGAGATAGGCTTTATTAAAACAGTAAATGTCCTGTGCATCAGTACCTTGGATCAGTTAAGGGAATGAATAATGTGGCCTTGAAATGTCTTGTTCTTCAGAATCTTGTGTATTGTAAGCCTCTGAAGTTTTATCTTGGACTAGACACGTAGCTGTTACTCATTCAAATAGAATCTTTGAGCAAAATTTTGATGCTCGAGTGGAAGTATCTATGTCAAAGGAAATAGCTGTCTTAGAGTCCTGAGTGTTGGATAACCTTGCAGATCAGCTTATAGTAACTAACTTGCTAGTTTGAACTGTTAGCTTGATTGCCCAACAACCAAAAGTTAGTTAAATAACTATGACTGAAGATTAAAACCAGGGATGCTATTGCACATTAAAGATGTGGTTGTTCTCACTTGTGCTTTGAACTGTTTTTAAAACTTTAAACACTTTAGAGTATGTATACTATTATATGAACTATATTAAAGTTCAAGTTAAATGATTGGCATAGAGGAGTTAATTTTTTTTTGTCTTTGGAGTCTGAATGTGTGTCAGAAGATGAGATAAACATGTAAAATTTGGTGTAATGATCTATTTACTCTATTTGAGAAGGTGAATGAACAATAAGATGCAACTGATTATGTTCTGTAGCTGCAAGGGTGTGTATGTATATAAATATGAAGTCTGCTCAATTCAATCTGTAAATCTTGAAAGTAGGAGCAATAAAAGTTTGACTTCTGAAAATATTCATGCAATTCATGTGAGAACACAGTGTTATTATGGCACAAATGAGCTGTTACAAGTATTCCTTGTGGAAAAAACAATTCATTTTCATATCTTCGAGAAGGAGATAACTGTTAGTTGAGTACTGACTATGTAAATGTACTCTGGTCATCTTTATGTAGCTAAAGCCTCTAATTATTGGAAGTAGGGTTGTCAAAAAATATTAAAAGGAAACAAAACAGCTTGTGTGTTTCACTAAGTAGGATGACTTTCCAGTCTAGTTTGCTTCCTTCCCAGAGGTCCACAGAATCACAGAATGAATCACAGAACAGTAGGGGTTGGAAGGGACCTCTGTGGGTCATCTAGTCCAACCCTCCTGCCGAAGCAGGGTCACCTACAGCACGCTGCACAGGACCTTGTCCAGGAGGGTCTTGAATATCTCCAGGGAAGGAGACTCCACAACCTCCCTGGGCAGCCTGTTCCAGTGCTCCGTCACCCTCAGAGGGAAGAAGTTCTTCCTCATGTTCAGACGGAACTTCCTATGCTTCGGTTTGTGCCCGTTGCCCCTTGTCCTGTCGCTGGGCACTACTGAAAAGAGTTTGGCCCTATCCTCCTGACACCTACCCTTCAGATATTTATAAGCATTTATTAAGTCCCCTCGCAGCCTTCTCTTCTTCAGGCTGAACAAGCCCAGCTCCCTCAGCCTCTCCTCGTAGGAGAGATGCTCCAGTCCCCTCACCATCCTCGTAGCCCTCCGCTGGACTCTCTCCACCAACACACCCAGGTCCCTCTCCACAGGGCTGCTCTCCAGCAAGTCCGCCCCAAGTCTGTACTGATGCATGGGGTTGTTCCTGCCCAGGTGCAGGACCCTGCACTTGCCCTTGTTGAACTTCATCAGGTTCCTCTCTGCCCAACTTTCCAGCCTGTCCAGGTCTCGCTGAATGGCAGCACAGCTTTTGTTTGAGATTACTTGTAGGGCTTTTCTATGCTAAGTTTGTTGGAGTTGCATACAGCTGATCACTAGATTAAGGTTCACTACAGGTTAAGATTCAGTAGATTTAAATATTGCAAATTGCTGATTTCTGAACAAAAGTGTGTTTTTGTGTACTTAAAATAGCATTACATAATATGTATATTCTTTAGATTCTGAAATACATTGCAGATATGTTAACCTGTGAGTCTTATTTAGATATAAGGTAGAAAGCAATAGTGAAATACTTTTTTGTATGGAACACTCCACCTTATGCTTAAATGTCGTAATGGCAAGTGGGGACAAAGTTTGGCTAGAGTTCTGCACATTGAAGTGTTCAAATAGTTGCTGTCTTTCCAATGTCTGTCTCAACAGTACATATTAGTTCAAGAGACCTGAGAAGACTAGACAAAATATTATGTCGTCACTCATGGGTTAGTCATGGTAGATATTCTCTATATGAAACTTACTCATTTTTTTTTTTTAGTTTTCTGGCTGTGTGTTTTAGTTTTATTTATGCTCGCAAGTCCCTCTTAGGCATATCAACTATCTTGGCATAAAGTGCTGGCTGAGTTGAATTTATTTGTGCAACTTAATGTTTTCATACTATTGGCATTAACCAGTAGTTTTATACTGAAGAAATCCATAGCTGAATCTTTAAATCACTTGTTTAGGCAACTTCATTGACTTAATTATGGTTTGAACACTGAAAAATCAATTGAAGGGAAATGGAAAGTTTTCAGCAATGGACTAATACATAAAAGCATATAGATAATTTTTTTCCTGAAGATGTGGTTTCTCTTTTTGTGGGAATTTGTTGACTGAAAAGGCAGTTAATATCTCAAGGTGAATGACCTCTTCATGTTGGTAAAAATGGGTCTAATAAAGTATAGAATTGAATCTTGTTCCATGGGTGAACTTTCTTAGTAACAGCTTGAGTACCGATTTGATAACTGAAGAGAAAATCAGAGCAGTTGAAATGGCTCTGTTTAAGACTTAAGCATGGTAAAAAGAAATACAGTGTGGACTAAGACTTTGATTCTTTTTTTATTGTGTTTACTCCAAGAGAATGCATCATTAAAGTTGCTGGAGCATCCATTTGGCAAAAGAAATTGTGAACCAGTGTTTTAATTACCTGCTTTGTCCTGGTGGATTTCCTTGCTTGAGAGGAGATGGTGTAAAATGCTGAGCTCAGAATACCGTTCCTAGAGTGGAAAGGATTTTGTTTTAAACAGAAATATATTGAATCTTAAGCAGACACTTGACTATATCTACTCTTGCGTATTTATTGTGTTAATGCAGAGGGAAGATCTAGTGTGAAGACACCGCACTACAGTGTAGCAGAAAGATTGCATATGTATGGTGGTACATATCTTGATTGGAAACTAGGATACCAAAGTGAAAATTGAATTCTTAAATTGACTATCGTTGTTAATATGGAGCAGTTTGGGTTTTGGTGGTGGAGTGTGGTTTGGTTTTTTTTTTCCCCAGGAAATCTGAAATACACACAATGCTTTTATCTAGTTAAATTACCAAAAGATTGATACACCAGTTAGACCAATATTGGGTCATTTTTATAGAAAATTGTATATTAGTGATAGTGTTGTCTGAACAATGGTTGATCTACACCTAGCTCTGATGTTTCTGCTTAAAGCAAGCTTTTGCAATGTTTCCACACTGCGGTGGATCAGCTAGAATATAGTTATTCAAAAGAAAGTAGGAATTCTCTTTGAAAAAGGCAAGCTAATTACTGAAGAAGGTTTAACATGAAGACTTAGAGGCATAACCTTCTTGTGTTGCAACTAACGATTGCTTTGCTTTTAGGTGCCTTAGCTGGACCAGTTGTTGATCCACGTGTGACAGCAGTTTGGGGGAAGAAGGTTGCACTGAAATGCATAATTGATATAAATGAAACAATAACACAAATTTCTTGGGAGAAGATACATGGTAGAAGTTCACAGACTATTGCTGTTCATCATCCTGTGTATGGAATATCTGTTCAAGGAGAATACCAAGGAAGAGTGTCGTTTAAAAACTACTCGCTCACTGATGCAACAATCATCTTAAAAAATGTAAGCTTTTCTGATACAGGTGAATATATTTGCAAGGCAGTTACATTCCCACTTGGAAATATAGAAGCATCAACAACTGTAACAGTACTAGGTAAGTCAACTTCTTTATGAAAGGAGGTGAAATTAATAGTACAAACTTGTCTGTGAAATTCTGCCAACTTACTAATACGTTGTATTTTACCTTTAAACCCAATGACAATATAAAAATGTATTTGCTAGATTTTCATAACAGGTGTTTTGGTATTCTTACTAACTTCATTGAGGAGATTTTTTTGGGTCTTGCTTCTTTAGAACTTGCTCTCTGATTGTCCAGATATTAAAAATGAATAGGCAGTTTGTATTTAGACATTGTATTAATCTAAGCATTTGGACAGTGCTTCAGAACTTAAACCTGGAAATGCTGATACTAGGGACCTCTGTGTGTGTGTGCTCAGAAGCTGCCAAACCTTGCCACCTTGCCTGAAGTCCCTCATAAATTTGTTACTAATATGGTAAGTTGATGTAGTTGCTTGCAGCTGGTGATGCAGACTGTTCTTTGCACAGTATAAATGTAAAGCAAAACAGCCTAGATTACTACTGGGATTTGTGAGATGAAAGAGGCAATTTAAGCCCTTGACTGGTTGTGGATAGTCATAATGTGAAGCTTATATAAACTCAAGTTTTTCACATAAATGAATTTTGTCTATCTTGTTGAGGGTTCAGTATTGCTGTTGTAAAGGACTAGTACTGAAGCACAGGTAGGCTTAGGTGGGTAGTGCAGTATAAGGTCAAATGATTTCTCTATAGTGAAACTTGAAAACCTATTGACTTGCCCTCTTGTTACAGCATTATAGCCTTTTATAATAGATTACTCCTGTATCCACTGCAAGTAGTCAGATGATATTTTCTACAGCTGAGGTGGTTCTCAATGACTTTTTGTAAGCAAATGTGCTTTTTAGGATCTGCTTGGTCTTTCATCTCTTGCTTTCCACAGTAGTAGAATACTATGAGATCAATCAGCTGGCTGTAGCACAGTATGTGAACTGGGTTTCACCACAAGGTGGGGTAAAATCAAATTTGAAACAAAGAACTTGACCAAAGAAGTTCTATGTGATATACAAAGCATGTAGCCTTATGGCGCTCTTTTTCCACCTGTCTTCTGTCTGTGCTAGAAGTGGCTATGTCTGTGGCTATTGTAGTGATCTTTTCACTTCAGGTTTCGGCTGTTGTGCGTTATCAACATACGGTGGGAGGAGGTTCTTATTGCTTTCCCTTGTTTCTTCTAGTCAGTCCCTGTTTGTATGATATTTTTTCAGATCACATGAGTAGTTGTGTCCATTTTACCTTTCAAATTTTATGTTTATGGAGAATCTGAGGAGGAACTTGGAAAGCATATGTATGGCCTGTGTGTTTATTATTCTACATTTGAAAATGTAGAAGGACAGCAGCTTGCTTAACATACATATTATCAAAAATTGCAGTTGGAATAGGTGAAGTGGTATTTGTCAGGCCTGCAGTGGTTCTGATCATAGTGGTTTTATAGTTAATGATGTAGATGGTTGCTGATAGTTGTAAACCTCTGTGACTTAGTATCAACCTCTGAATTGTAAAAGCCAACTACTGCTTGCAAAGATGCCTTTCTGTCCTAGTTAGCAGCTGCTTGGCTTGCATGTACAGCTGGGTAGCCAGCCCTCTGTTGGACATATCTATGTTCTGTAGCCTCAGCAGAGCATTTTCTGTACTTCTGAAAACTTTTTGCTACACTGACTTCTAGATTTAAACAATAAACATACTGGGGAAGTAAACATTTTCTTAGAATCAATTTTATTCTAACTGTATTCTCCAACTGTTCTAGAAAACCCTCCCTTAAGTGAGGAGAGGAAAATTCATGTCCTAGGGCTGAAAGTGTTTCCTGTCCAAGCAGCATTGCCTTTTTTCCTAATCCTTGTCTGTTCCTGTTTGGCAAAGAATTAGTTTCCTTCCTATTTGTAGTGGACATACTTGACTTAATCATGCAGTAGATGCTTGTACGCTGTAAGGCAGAGACACTGAATGCAAATGGAGGAAAAAATAATGACAGGATAAAATGTCCTCTATTTTGCCACAGTACACTGAAGACCGTATTTAGAATCTCTGTCTTACGCTGCCTCAATTTAACAGACTTATCACATTTGGTGACTTTACTCACTCCGTTTGCTTCGCTTAGTGCTTGAGGTTGTCTTAAGGAAGAGCACTGTAGAAGAAGAAGGGTTGGGACAGTGAAAATATGAAAATGCTTTTTGGGTGAAACAGGTGTATCGATCTTGTCTAAAACTTTTGGTTCTTCAAACTTACCTTATTAAATTAGGGAAAATAAAATCGAAGAATTGTACATCAGGCTATTTTTTCTCAAGATGCTGACTAAACTGGCTGAAATGGTGTTTGAAAGGAGAAGACATGGTGTGCGACAAGGTAGCTTTCAGAGATAACAGAATTTTTATGTTACTAGCTCAAGTGCTGTACATGACTATTTTAAACACTCGGTTCAGTTTGACTCCTACTGTCTTGTTAAGCTAGGTTTCTCAGCATGGGTATTGATAAAGTAGGTTCTGTTCTTCTGCAGGCTAGCTCTTACCAATGTTACAAGTGAAGAATGAGCTGCACAGATGAGAATGTCAAAGGTAGATGTAGGTCTGTCACCATGAATAGATACCGGACACACTAATGTAGAAATTCTTACAATAAGGAGTTAAAGGAAGATCTATGTCAGAAAGTATGGAAAATGGATCCTCTCAGACAGTTTTGATAAAGCAGTGGTGTTTGCGAAGTGCTAGTTGATGAGATGTACGCGTTCTTCTTAAGTACCACACAGTACTCCAGGCTGAAAAAAAAGTATCAAGTAGATAAATTGGTGAACTAATTGGTCTTAAATAACCAAAACAAAACCCCTAAAGTCAATAGTAAAGAATTGATTAGTGGGCAGGGTAAGTTACACAGAAATATACAGCTGCTGGTTCTGAGGGGAGAGAAAATCAGAAGTAAAAATACTGTTTTGGAAAGAATTTTTTCCAATAAATGACAGTTGCGATGAAGAAGGGGCTGACAATTCCCAATGTCATGCTGTTGCCAAGGAATTAGTGAAGTTAATGGTACGTGGAAATAATACTGTTTGTGTTATAATCGTACCAATTGTGTCCAGACCTTCTGTGCACTGTGGTATAAGAAAATTAGTTTTAGAAGTAACAGAAGCAATTGAGAAAGGCTTATGAAGTACTTAAAACCAAGAAGAAACTTTGAAGCCTGGAAACTTAATGCAGTAGGTTAAAAGGCTCTTTCTTTTCTGGATGCTGTATAATGTTTTTCTGTAAAGAAGCATACAGACTTGAGTGATGAGAGATCTCTGTCCATGTGAATGTAAGGTGAAGCTAGACTAAGTAGGGTTAAATAAGGTAGGGGTCATGAATCTATGGAAGTGCTAGCAGAGATGCGCAAATTAGTTGAGACTTTAAATAGCTGCACATCTAGCTTCCATACTTCAGCCACCATTTCTTTTAACTCAAATGTATTTCATACTGTAATATTTTTTTGGATTTGTGTGACTATTCTCCTAAGGTATATGAATGAGTTGATCCATGTGCACTGACCTTCTGATAACCTCTTATCTATTCAGTCAGTGTATCTATTCTGATTATTTAAAGGGGATGGGGGAAGCCGTCACTACCCTTAAACTCTTAAATTGTGGAAGCAGGTCGCTTCTACTTTTGGATCTTTGTAGGATTGGTGGCTTCCTTTCCCAAACGAAGTGTTGTCCTCATCAGTTTTTTCATTTGACCTTAACAGAGTGTAATGCTTCTGCTGAATGGGTGAAGCAGCTTTGCTAATGCTCTTCCAACCTCCTTCATGTGTTGTCTGTCGTGTTCATTCTCCCCTCCCTGTGAGCAGTGAAAGTCTACAGGGCACACTTCCCTACGATTTATGTGGCACACTGAATGGTCCTGGGACAAGAGGACTGCTGCAAGAGTCTGTGTATATAAAAGTTACACTTTGAAAAAATAAAAAAGCCAGCCAAAACCCCTCCAAATACTACACTTTGGGTAGTCTTTTTTTCCAAGTTGAAAACAATAGAGCTGTTTCCCAGTGTGAGGGGTGAGATGCCAATGGCCCTTTGTAACTAGGGATTCATTCACAAGACATTTGTCTAAATCCATGACTGAAACAGCTAGAAAGGCTGTGGAATGAGTAGCTGGGTTTCTGCTGGTTTTGCTTCAGTTGCTGGGACAAAGTAATCCTGAAGGATAGACTACAGAAATGAGTACCATGACAGCAGTTGCTTTCCACTTTTTGTATGTGGCTATTTGCTTATCCTGTAGTTGGTGTGTAGTCCAAGAATCATGATTTATGGGAAGATATGCCTGTAGAAGCCTAACTATTGGTGAAATACAAAAAAACTAAAGCACCAAAACCCATTGGACTGGGGATAAGTGTATTTTATGAAGTTGAGTAGTTCAACTTTGTGTCTTTGCAACAAGTGTACAACAAAGAATTACACAATGAACTGAAACTGGCCAGTCTCAGAGATTTCAAATATCACTTAAAGCAAAGTATGCTTTTTTCCCTTAATAATGACAATCTCAAGAGAAACTAGGCTTTTTAAAGGAGTCTATATCATGTTCCCTAGCTACTGTCACTTGCTACTTGAATGCATTTTTTTCTAAAAGCACAGTAAGTGAAGCAGCATACTGAGTTAGTCTGCTTTGGGTCTGGAGATCTCTGCTACTTTATTTAAGGCTTCTTTTTGACTTGTGTGTCCCTTCACAACGGGCTAGAGGAAAAATTCTGGAGTTGTGTGCTCAGGTTTTTTGAGGAAAGTTCAAAGGAATAGAATATGTGAAACTTTATTTCTAGCTGAAATGATTTGGGTCTATTAATTTCTGACATGAAAACATAAGAATAGCTCCTAATTTAATCAATTTCACTGTGGAGATCTAGGGGGGGTGGGATACAGCAAAACTTAGTATCTATATGCTTGTAAGACACTAAACATAAGTTTGGATGTTTACTTCTGCATTTCAGTAATAATACAGAAGCTGTTAAAAAGTTACTACTAGTGATTTGGTGGGAACAAGGTAGTAATGTTAAATCATGGAAACGAGATTGTGGGTCAAATATCAAAGCTGTATAATGTACATTTTAAAGGCTTTTTTCAGATAATGGAATGCTTCATATGTACATCAGTTCAACTATCCAAGCTTATTGCAGAAAGCTAGTGTTGGAGATCAGGGAATCATATTTGTAAAGAAGGTCTGTTAGAGATGCTTCAGATCTAGAAGAGTGAATTTAGGACTTGCAGAAAACCCTTGCTGTTGGTTTGTTTACAGTAGGGTCACCAGCAGATCACAGAGGGTGGGCATTCAGAGAAACAAAGCAGAAAATAATCCACTCGGTAACCGCCCCAACAACCAACCTTCAATTTGGTAATGAGATATATTCTTTAAGCACTTCTAAGCATAGAACAGAAAACACATATTTTTAAGGTTATCAACGTAGTAGTTGGCTTTCCTTTTACTGTAATTGAGCAAGTAGTAAATGACCTATCTCAGACATGAGCAGTGTTAGAGCAGAAAACAATCAAAAACTGATTCTGGCACTGAATTCACTCAAGGTGAAAATATTTGTTACTCAGTTATCTCTTGAAAGTATAGGTAGTTCGAGAAGTATCTTGGCAGGTATCGTGAACTCTGCTATATTTCCTTTCAAGATGTGTGGGTTGCTTTCAACTTCTTGGAAGGTAATTCTGTGAACTAAACTTCTGCTAGGATATCGAAAGGCACAGAATTTGAGAGTTTTATCTACTTTGGGATTAGGGAGGGCTGCTCGACTGAGGTGGATTCTGAAGCATGACGGTGTGTAGTGGTGACTTCAGAGGACTCCGATAGCCTCATTAGATCAAAAGACAGGATTCTGTAATAGGCTGGTATGCTACTGGGAAACATGAATCATCTAGTACTGATGATAGAAATGGGCCACCCTGGAAAGCAAAACCTTGGTTTGTATCTGAAGCACCAGATGGCATTTCCGACTTAGACTGCAACTGGTGGATGGCTTGTACAGGGCTGAAGCAGGTTTCTTAATGAATAAGGACGGGGTTTTTTAAAGCTTTTCAGTCTATGGCCCTTGGCAGTTGATTTGTACATCAGTAACTCAGTTTCGTTTTAGAAGGAAGTGTGTTCCTAGGCCTCTAAAATTTTGGGGTGATCAGTGGGATTGCAAGGAGGTCAGATCCTTCCACTTGTGGATTTCTTGAGTCTTGGACATAGTATTGAGTTCAAATTTTTTACTTCTATAGGGATTCATTCACAAGAATATATACAGAACTTTATATATAGAAACAATTTATATGTATATCAAACATACAGATGCTATATAAAATTACATACGTAAATTTGTGTGTACATACTAATTTTATATATATGTGTACATATACTAAAAATACTTTTTTAGTGGTTAACTGTCCTTTTCAGAATGGAATCAATTTGTATAGTTGTACTGATCAACAGAAGCTTAAACTCTTAATGTCGGGCGTTAAAATGCTGAATTAAGTAGCTTTGAAATGGCACAAACTGACAGTATAGATTAGTACTGCAAGTATAATGCTTGAAAATGCAACAGAATCCAAGCCTTTTTTAAAAATCACAGTATAGTTTCAACCTAATATCTTAGGCTGCCTGTTGTCAGACACTGCAACTGGAGCACTGTAGTTAGCGTTTTGAACTTAACCACGCTGGAATTCTATGCTAATACATTAAATGTAGGGAAGGAAGAACATTAAACATTGAGTGGACACAGGTGGACAGTATCAGCAGGCCTAAGCTTTGTAGAGCTATCATCTCTGATATATGACCTGATTTTATTTCTAGGATATAGCCCATTAGCATAGGATTTTTCAAATGGATTAGATCTTGTCTAACTCTTTTACATAACAACGGTTTCAAAGATATGCAGTCTTTCTTGTTTAAATTAACTTTTTTCCCCTCTGTAGTTGAACCTGTTGTGAGCTTAACAAAAGGACCAAACCCTCTAATAGATGGTGCAAATCGGACAATAGCAGCCACTTGCACAGCAGCAGCTGGAAAACCTGCTGCAGAGATTGACTGGGAAGGAGGTCTTGGTGAAATGGAATCCAGCTCTACTTTGTTTCCAAATGAAACGGTGACAGATACCCTTATGTGTTGGACATACAGTGTAAGTATTCTGTAAGGTAGTTACTAGTTGGTATGTATCTTATAAATCACCCTCTTTATTGGTGTATGCTTTCCACAGAAAGGAGATGAGCACTTACTGCTTCAGGAAAAAGAGAAATTAAAACTGTATAGAAAGTATGTGATAAGAGATAGGTTGGGCAGGAGTAGAAATCTAGGGTCTCTGTACTTAAAAAAAAAAACCAATCTAGTCACAAAGCTAGAATACAATAATGTTTCTACTGTTTGTTTTTGATATTGGCTCATGGGTAAACAGTATTATTCATGTTTATGTTTAACATTGAAAAGATTACAGACAAAATAACAAACTCAGTTGATCTGTAAACTGTTTATAGTGCCTTATCATTTCACCAGTTTTAAAGAATTCTAATGAAGGTTCATGTTTGGGATGACAAGTTGAAAGTAGGTCTTATGGGGGTCAGCAAGTTATTTTCAAATTACACACTAAGCTTTTTCCACTCTTATTTGCATAAGGAAACCGAACATCATCTATACATTTGTAACATTTGTTATTTAGCTTCAGGTCGCTCAGCTGTACCAGACTTGTTCAAGAAATTTGTGACTTTAAAACACATGAATACAAAGTGAGATGGCTTACAAAGCTGCTTAATTAAAACCCATTAAGATAAATAAGCTTTAGGCATTTGATCCATTTTTTTGTTGGACAACGTGTACATGACCAAAACGAGCTATTTTCAAGTTCTTCCTTTGGTATCCTGTCTCAGCTGTGTGCTGCTTTAAAGTTCTGAAATCACAGAAGTCTGTTAATTCAGTTGGTAGAAATGTAGTGGCTGGAAAAAAAATCCCAAAACTTTGCTAATTCAGTTTGACTAGAATCTCATGTGGGTTTTTGTTTTGATTGATAAAGAATCACTTATTTGGGCATGAAGTAGTGATTAGTACTAGTTTATTTTGTCAGTGTTGAAATGAAGTTCTAGATTGAAGTGCCATTGATACAGAAATGGAAGTAAAGATGATTTGTTCCCATTACTTTTTCGAACAGTGAGTAAGAGAATGAGGTTCTGTATTTAAAGTGAAATGAGGGGGCAAGTTGGTCTTAAATTTATTTTTATCTGAAATTAGTGCAAAGGCATGTTTTGAAACTTCTAACCGACATGGATAGTAAGCAACACAGTAGCAAGTGAGAGGCAGAGGTTTTATCTCTGCGTTCTCTAGTCTTCCTTCAGTATTCCCTTATGCTTGCAGCTTTTCCAGCTACTCCATCTCTGCTGTCAGAGCTAGTACCAAATCATACTGGTTCTTCTGTTCTGAGTATTTCAGCTCGGTCTCTCTGGCCTATCTGAAGTGGCCTCCTTGCTTTTTAGAGCCATAACAACATAATTCTACATTTTGATACCAGTGGGTAACTGTTAAACTTTTTAACTGGCATCTGTGTGCTTTTTGATTTCCTAATTGCCTGCCTTCTCAAAATGCTGTTTCTGATCCTTTGCTGTATCTTGTTAGTGAGAAGTAGCTCTAAATTATTATTTGTCACTTCCAAAAAAAACATTAAACTTTTTCTTCGGAAGTCATTTCACTTCCTCGAAGTGCTCTGTTTGCTGAAAACACAGTGGGACAGTTGCACTGATTAAAACAATTTACTGTTCCTGCTCTAATCCACTGCTGCATATTTTACGGTAGCTTGGAGGGGATTGGTGTTCTCTGTGTATTTTGTTGTTGTTAGTTTTTAAATTAAAAAAACAACATAAACCTACTGCTTCACTGAGCTGACCATTACACATAGTTTGTGTTTAAAGAAAATATTGTGATTGTTGATAGGTTAAATCTTTTTTTGTCAGATGCCCCGGAAGTTTCAGTAACTGGCTATGATGGAAACTGGTTCGTTGGAAGAGAGAACGTTCAGCTCAGATGTAATGCTGATGCAAATCCGTTACCTATGGAATTTATGTGGACGAGGTAAATATTTGTAAACAGGGGCTTGCCACATGATCAAAGTGGTATCATCTCTTAGTTCAGCATAAACACCTATTTGTAAATCATGGAGTTCTGTGACTTGTATTAGGTTGTGATGGTATTACCCAGCCTTTCAGAAAGGAGGATACAAGATGTGTGTTTGTATGAATATGAGTGGATATCTTGTAAATTTACAAGCCTGAACAGTTCGTCATTACTCTCAGGATAAAATCCTTTGTGGTTACTTAAAAGACTAAACTGTGTGTTGCAGTATATAAAGCAAAGCCAAATCAATCTATTGGGGATCCAACTATTATTTCATTAGTTCTGTTTTACTGTTACTTAAAGTAATTGTAAACACTTGAACAGACTATTCGGTGTTTGTATTTTGAAATCTGGAAAGTACAGTTGAGATGTTAGATACCGCTTACTGAATTGTAGAATTAGTCATGTTTTTCAAAAGTGCTCAAGTAGTTGCCAAGACAGGTAAATGCAGTGTTTTGCATAGTGATGGAATCTAGGTCTTGAACATGTCTAAGATTTTTATTTTTTACTAGAGACGTAACAGCTGCATTTCGTTAATACATGGAGTGAGTGGGCCCTACTCTAAAATTTACTTTAGTTTAAGGAAGGGGAAACTAGCTGTATGGAGGTTTTTGTATGCTACCTAACTGGCTTCAAGTTATAACAGCTTCTAGAAGTACCACACCAAAAATTCTTTATACCTCGGAAGCAAAGATGATATTGTATTTGTTAGAATAGTAATATTTTCATGATCAATAATATTTAAAAATGTTGCACATAAGAACTTTATTAGAATACAGCTTTCAAATGAATTGACTATTTTATAATGGGTTTTTTGCGATAAATACTTCTGGTACTATGAATTATGAAGTACGTGCTTAATCACTTTTTTCAAATTTATATGGCCGAAGCAATTATGGGCGATAGTCATTGTCAGCAAAGCAGTGGGAATGTTGTCTTGAACCTACATATGTTGGAGATCAAGTTTACTGTTAACTGTGGGTTTTTTCTGTTTAAGTACCCATTTTACAGCGTCGGGTGTTTTTTTTTGTTCAATACTGCTTATAAAATTGTACTTGCTAAATGCTTCCAAGATATTGAGACCTGGTGAGCACGTTTGTATATTGACTTAGTCCAGCTTAGCTGTCTTGAACTCTTGCTCAGAAATCCTAGTCAAAATGTCCTGTAAATTAAGTGTGTACTGACAGAAATGCTTATTGTGATAGCTTAGCTGGATGCAAAAGAACAGGCAGGTAATCCTGACAGTAGCATGTATAAGTGCATTTTCATTTGACTGTTAGTTTTTAGAGCTTGAGTTGGATTGTTCCTCCAAGTTCTTTTGAGATAATGTTTTCTTAGTTGTAGTGGTGGTCATTTGTAGACAGCTTGCTAGTGCCAGCAGCTTTGACATTTGAAGGATTTGGCACAGAAATTAAATAACGTTCAGGTGGACATAGAAAGTATCCAATGAAAGCCCCCTGATAGTGTCAGAACACAGGGAAAAGTTCAGTCTCTAGACTATTGCAAATACTGTTTTAAACTAGTTGCATTAAGATTTTATTGATAAAGGTCGACAGTTGAAATAGAATTAAGTGTTTTGTTTTAGGCTGGATGGACAGTGGCCTGAAGGATTACTCTCTGTCAACAATACTCTGCAGTTCAGCAGCCCATTGACTTACAACTACACTGGGACTTACATCTGTAAGGTGACTAATTCCCTTGGTCAGAGAAGCGATCAGAAGGCTATCTACATATTAGGTAAGTCTTACTTCTCAGCAAAGACAGTGTGTTAACTTGGAATTTATTTGGTCAGTAGTTGAAATAACTGAGGAGCTGTTTGATGTATAAAATACTTAAGCCTTTTAATTGTGTGAAAAGCACTTGGAAGTAGGGAGTTGAGAGCTACAGTATAACTTGGAATTAAATTGACTTTTCAATAACAGCAACATACAGTGGAAATTTTAAAGGTAGTGCTTCCGAGTTTATTACTTTCTCTTGGTAGGTGAACTTTGTCCAGTGTTAACCTGTGCTTTGGCAAGACATACTGACTGCGTTAAACAGTACCTTGTCAGTAATAAATTGAAAAAACAGTTGTTAGTGGGAGGGGAGCAACTATGTTTAGGGAAGTCAAGCATGTGCTGCTTTAAGGAAATTAGGGTTGTGTTCTGAGCATGTGCATTGTACTCCAGTTACTTGTCTCCTGTTCTCGGGATGCAGATACCCAGTAATCATAAAGTATCTGACGCAGAACTCTTGCTGATTTATGTAGTATAATATGGTAAATCTGTGTGTCTGTTCAGCTCCACTGCTGTTGGTAAACATCCTCAAATCTATTTAACACAATGTGATTAATGTTTTACTGTGACGGTTTCTCTGCTGAAAGAACAGCATGACTTAGGGTCTATGTGAATAGTGCTGTACAAGTGTGCAAAAGCTCTCCAAATTTCCATAATGGATTAGCTAATACCTAGCTGAATCAATAAGTGCTCATATATTATAGTTTTTTTAGGGAAAAGAATAACAGACATGAAAATTAGAACTTCATTATGTTGTATGGTATTTCTGCTCTTCAGTAAGTTCTTGACATTAGTTATTCCACAGTGTGAAATAAGCATCAGAGTGCATGTTGGCTAGTTACAGACTAAATGAAAAGAAACAGAGACAACTTCTTTGTAATAACTTAAAACTTAATATGAACACTTAAGGGTAGAGGTGACAATGAAAACTTAAGACTGAAACTGAAGGTACAGGACATCTGAAGCCACATCTATCACAATTTGTATTTGGTAGTTATCTGCCCCCTTAGAAAAGGGGATGGTGTTGCAGTCTGACATAACCAGTCTGCAGCCAATTGTGGAAAACTAGTAAGTTCTAAATAACTGACTAGTTTATGAGCTAGTTAACTGGGAACTTCTAAGTACTTGGAGACTGTGGAATTATTTGTAAACAGAACTTTAAAAATTATATAGAATTCTAGCTATTAAAAGACTTAAGTGCTGTAAATTATTATGAAAGTCACTTCTGAGAAGTTACTTTTGGGTTCTTGGTTCTAATGCTTCCTTCATGGGAAGAACTCACGGCTCTAACAGTCTCAAAATAGTTATGAACACTCACATTGCAAGAAGTATCAAGTCATACAAAAATTCGAATAGTGTCATTAAATAGGACGTCGCATTGTCCTGGAATGTAACTTTCAAATAGACTTTAACAGTACTCTTATTTTCTTATAGCTCTGTCTTGAGACCTATTCTAACTGTAAGGAGGGGGAAAGTTGTTTTTCAAGTCCACCACTTCTCAAGTTGTTACTTCTATGAATGTGATCTGTTTTAAGTAGACTCTTGCTTTTTAAGATGACTGTCATGCATGAAATACAAGGCTATTATTCAAATTATGAATGCGGCTAACAGAGTAAAATGGCTAACTATGAATTCTTCTATGATGCTTCCTAAAATTAATAAATTTTTTTGAAAAAGCAGACTAGATATACATGCTAGTTGAACTATAGCGATGGCTTATGTTCTAGCCCATGGCAAATGCAGCTTAAACTAGATTATTACAGCAGAAATAGTTAAGCTGCAGCACTTGGTCTTTGGGGTGGACTGTTTGATACCATTTACATGTGTGCTGCTCTTCAGCTTTGTTCAGCAACTTTGCTGCTGTACCTTCATTGCAAACAGCAAAACTTAGCTGTTTTTAGGGAATGCCAAAACTGAACCTTAACTACATAGAGATTGTACAGGGTCATGGTTCTAACAAGTTATGTGCACCAAAAGACCCAAATACTTTAGATGACATTAATTTCGGTTTTTAAACACTTCATGTTAATCTTGGAGTGTGTAGTGTGACCAACAGCTAAGAAAATACAGATGATTTTTAGGCAGCTTAGAATAAATCTGGTGTCATGTCACTACAACGAATGCTCAGGCAAGTCGTACTCCTCAGTTTAACGCTGACAGAAGTATCCAGCACTCTGCTGTAGATACCTTAGAGAAGATTATACCAAACTGATTAAAAGCACTGTGTATTAACTTCTAGTATATAGGAGACTTGATTAAAATGAGGGATGAGGCAATCATTAAGTATAGTACCTGTATTGTTTTCAGAAAATAATGTTAAGCCAGATTTATTGTAACTCTAAGAATAACTTCACAGTGTGACTGGCTCTTTAAATAACTGAAATGCCCTTAAAATGATGCAGAATGGGTAAGTGAGTCTGAAATAGCAAAAGTGTCCGTCTTAAAGAACAGTCATTTGGGTTACTCTGCAGAGGAAATAGACTGATGTCAAGACTACAGAAGGTAAGACTGGAGTCGTAAACTTCAAGCCAAACTGCTTACCACATTAATACTTGACTTAACTGAGCAGATACCTAGTAATGGTGAAGATGGCACTGCTGTGCTGTAGTAGATAGTAGAGCAATTGTTTAATTAAGTTATTTTTTGATCTTGGCTGTTTTCCACTGTATAAAACTTGGCAAAAAACTTAGTGAAATTTTAAAAACAGCAGACAAAGCTGCTGTTTTTCAAATTTTGATTATGAAGCTGTTGAAAAGGATTTATGAAGTTAGTGTTTCTGAACTGTCATGATGCTGGTAGTTGTAAGGCTTTTTAACTGCTAGAAAAAATAACTATTGAGTTCAAAAGCTGTGCAAAAAATGCACTACTTTGTTGTTGGCTTTGAGGCGCAGATTATCTTCACTGTTTCTTAATTGTTCAGTGATGCAAAGTTAAACTTTACATAGTTGTCCAGCAAAAGCAAGTCATGCCTTCTCATGGTGTTGAGAGGTGATCATATGTTGTTGAAGTTCCTGACTTGGTCCTACAGCAACAGGTTTTCCAGACCAAGCTGTCAGCTTGATGTGTTAAGTACCTGAGCTTGTAATGTAGATTTACTGGTTTTTACATAAAGAATTGAACTTGATTTTCTTGGCTTGGTCCCTTCACCTTCACACTGTTTACTGAGGCTTTCGCTCCCTCCGTTTGCAAGAGAGAGGTGACCTACAACACTCAAGTTCACACAGGAACATATTTGCTTCCTCTGTCATGTTTTGAAATGACTGTCTTTGGAAGAGACTACTTTTAGTTAGAAGGAAAGCTAGCCTTTATTAGCCAGCAATCTTAGCAATTCTAGGAACATGTGACTTATTAGTACAGAGTCACCTTCTTGTAGAGTGAGTATTGTCGGGGTTAGCATACCAGAGGCTGATCATCGTTTTTGCTTTTGTTCCTATATAGACTCTTTCCTGAGAAAGCATTGTGAATGCAGACTGTATTCGGTTTGCGTGGCAAGGTTTTGGTAGCAAGGGGGCTACAGGGGTGGCTTCTGAGAAGCTGCCAAAAGCTTCCCCCATGGCTGATTGAGCCAATGCCAGCTGGCTCCAAGATGGACCCCGCTGCTGGCTAAGGCCAAGCCCATCAGTGATGGCAGTAGCACCTCTGTGGGTGGTAGTGCCTCTGTGATAACATATTTAAGAACGAGAAAAAACTGCTGCCCAACAGCAGCCAAAGGAGAGGAGTGAGAGTATGCAAGAGAAACAACTCTGCAGATGCCAAGGTTAGTGAAGAAGGGAGGAAGAGGAGGTGGTCCAGGTGCCAGAGCAGAGATTCCCCTGCAGCCCATGGAGAAGACCATGGTGAGGCGGGCTGTCCCCTTGCAGCCCATAGCCCATGGAGGACCCCACGCCAGAGCAGTTGGATGCCCAAAGAAGGCCATGACCTCACGGGAAGCCTGTGCTGGAGCAGGCTCCTGGCAGGCTGTAGCAGGTTGGCTGGCAGTTCTTGTGACCCCATGGAGAGGGGGACCCATGCTAAAGAAGCCTGTTCCTGAAGGACTTCGCCCTGTGGAAAGGGTACATGGAAAGGACCCACGCTGGAGCAGTTTGTGAAGAACTGCAGCCTTTGTGAAGGACTCACATTGGAGAAGTTCGTTGGAGGACTGTCTCCTGTGAGTGGGACCCCACACTGGAGTAGGGGAAGAGTGTGAGGATGAAGGAGTGGCAGAGATAACGTGTGATGAACTGATCACAGCCCCCATTCCCTGTCACCCTGCACTGCTTGGGGCCAAAGAAGATGGAGAAATTGGAGTGAAGTTCAGCCTGGGAAGACGGGAGGCATGAAGGGAAGGAAGATTTAGTTTTTATTTCTCATTACCCTACTCTGATGTGATTGGTGATAAATTAATTTCCGCAAATCGAGTCTGTTTTGCCCAGGTTGGCAATTGCTGAGTGATCTCCCTGTCCTTCTCTCAACCCATGAGCCTTTCATCATGTTTCTGCTCTTCCCTGCTCCCCCCCCCCAACTGTGGAGCGGGAGTGATAGAACAGTTTGGGCATGTGGTGTCCACCCAAGGTCAACCCACCACACAGATGCTCTTGTATTTTCTAAAGTATATATTAGAAGGGATGTTGGGGAGGGGGAAGAGGGGACAAGTTGCTTTTTTCTGCTGTATAGAAAGAGAGGTCCCAGGATATCAAAACTGCTAACTTGCGTGCTGCCTCGTAAAGCAGGCTTTGAACTTTCAACATTGTTCCTAAATATTACTTGCAAGTTTGGTTATGTTAATGATAATAGTTGTCCCATTGTGTCTTAAAGAGGTGCCAAAATGTTCAATTATCTGTATTCATGCACAACAACTAGCCAAGGTACCTTTCCTTCCAAAGCTATGTTTCTGTAATGCTTAAGTGACAAATTTTAGTCAAAGGAGATGTGTTCCAGTATCGAATTTTCTTCTTCTATATTATATAGAGCTGGTTGTTCCTGAAAGACTTCATAGTAGGCTACATCCAAAATGGTTTGTAATTTAAAAATAGTGTGTTCTCTAGTTGACTTTTACAACTGTGTGCTTGTTGATACCAAGACAGGATTTAACCTAAGATGTTGAAGCCTAATGGTCTGGTTCTAAGGGTAACCTATCCATCTCTTTGCCCGTTCAACTTTCTGACGCTTGGCTTCTGTTGACTTTGAATTTCCACAGAAATGAAGGTGGGTCCTGGACACTTAAACAAAGATGCACTGCAGGGAGATTGAGGGGAGAAAGTGTAGTGTTTGGGGATATGAGACATATCATGTAGTTAGATGTTTCTACTAAACTTAGTAGTAGAAATGCATCTGTCCAAGGTAGGTTGCTTGTATTGCAAAAGCTTGGAGAAGTGTGTCAAGAGTAGTTATTTAAGGAAAAAATAAAAATAGTAGACTGAAGCTGTTCAAAGTTGGTACCAACTTTCATGGGAAACATCTGGAAAATAAGTAACAGAGGGAAAACTAAGCATACTGTATAAGGACCACGGTGCTTTGTTTGAGAAGGTGTTAGAGCTTCATCTGAAGTAAAGAACAAATCTTGTTTTTCTTTGTAGAAAACTATCAAAAGCTTTGAAGCAAACTAGGAAAACTTGACTTCTACTTATGTGTGGACAGAACTGATGGGTTTACTCTTTCATACCAGAAAATAGGCTTTTCCTTTCTTCAGTTATGTCTCCTATTCTATTTTAATGAAGATAGTAGCTATGTAATAGTAGAAGAAATTGTCTGTGGGTCTTCGCTTATCCTTACTGCAAGGTGTATGTAATAAAGGACTGGAACAGGGCCCAGAATATACTGAGACAAAAACGTAAATCAAGATGCATTTAAAATAAACCCAAATTTTTTCAGAATTTCTGCCTCTT